TAACCAGAAAAAGTAGAAGTGTTTGGAAAGTTGTTTCGTTTTCGGTAATGAACATCTACAATCTCATATGTGGGAATTGAACTCAGGTTTTTCGATCTCTCGCGCATAAACTCTTAAACTCTAAATCACAAAATCGGTAATCAATGATGTGAATGACTGACTTCAATCAATTCATGAGATTGCACGCCCATCTTTCATTGTCTTTAGTGAGTATCAGCTTCACATCTGACACGGTTGAACTTCACTGGTCATACACAGTTTCTAACTAGAAGTAGAAATTAATTATCATCAAGTAATGGATAAACATTGGAGACTATAAATTTATGCTTTAATGTCATTTAGTTACAAAATTCCTTTCTATATTTCATTCTGAGAAGACTTTGAAACCACTTTATTACATAAAACAAGAATCACAATAGTATCATTTTAAAATAGTGGTTAAAAGTTAATGGTGCGACATATCATTCAGTCAAGCTTATTCTTGTCAAGTAAACATTAATTGTGTAACTATGTTACTCAGTCAAATTCCACATCCGTAATCGTTTGATCATTTCAAGAACAGTCGGAATTGAAATCGCAAACATTTGAAAAACACAATTTATTAATGATAATTTTATAATAGAAAACAATTTATAAGATTTAATAGTTGAATTCATGAGTCAATTGAAGCTAAACTACCATGGAAAACCTAGAAGCACTGGACGACCGATTCGTCTTAGTATGGGACTGTTCAGTAGTGCAATGGCCATTCAATATAATTAATAATAATTGTTTCGTTCGCTACACATCTGAAGTTGATTGATTAACATTTCCCACTATGTATATTGGATAATACTAATTTATTTGAAGTATAATTTTAGATACAAGCAACTCTTATTGCATTGTATATATGAGAACTAAAACTCGTAAATGAAAGTTTAAGAGAATAGTTAAAAAAAACTTTTTGGCAGCTTCATGATGAATTAGACTGAACAAAGTGTTTAAGTGAACTGTCATCACTAACAATAGTCGGATTTTCTTAAACGACTTCACCCATCACTTGATTTTGTGTCAGCAACAATCAAGGATAATTGGGAAAGGGAAACAGTTAACTAATTTAGATGATAAAATAATCAATAAAAAAACACACATGATAACAACCAAATATACTGTAACTAAGTTGATTAATTCAGTAAAGTCTAATATAAATGATCGGCTTTTAATAAGATAATGGGAACGGATTTATACTGATAGTACGTGAATCGTTAACAATTATGGTTGCTACCTGTCATATTGAAGAGAATTTGAGCAAGATTAATCGTTTAGAGCTATCCTACAGAATATTATTGTATCTACTTTTTTATTACGTAACAATTAAATGAGTGGATTCTAGTGTGATGTCAGCTACTTATATCCACATAAGTAGTATATCATGATAGTCAGGAATAGAATGTTTCAATAGAAGATCGAGAAGGAAAGAATTGAAACGGAAGGTAATCGGTGTGAAGATGCATGAACAATGAAATTTGAGACGATAGACTAATATTTGCATAAGGAACAGTCAAGTTTGAGACGTTTTGCAAATGAAGTATTTACTGTATGATTTTAGTAAAATATTCTATAATATCGTGTTTACATTCCATTGCCCGCACTTGTATTCTTGTTCATTACACTAATATCGTTACCTGGATCAATAATTGGTTATTTATTCTTTTACTATTCCATTTTTATTAGTATAGAGTTATGGAGATAGTTGAGTATCTTTTTAGTAAGATCATTTTTGTATTACTCATATTTGAGCTATGTATGAATTAAAATTTCTTATTTATGTGCTATACCGTCAGGTATTTGGAACCATGTATCTAGATATCCTTCCAAAAAAACAACCTCCAAGCATTTAAAATAAAAAAAAAGATAATTAATTTAATGTCGAGTAATTTAGACTAGTAGTCATATTGCAACTTGATAGATAGAGTTTAAGTGGAATTGAAGAACTAAAGAAATATGACATACAATAATACTTAATGACTAGTATCAGAAGGGGTTAATTGAAGTTAGACCACTATGGAAAACCCGGAAGCGCTGGACGGTCGTTTCGTCTTATTATGGGACTCCTCAGCTGTATGCATTCATGACCTCAGCTTGTGGGATTCAAACCTAAGATTTATCAGTCTTGAAATATAGAAGTATGTATGTTTCGTTTTGTTGATCTACAATTAGTTAAATCTATATTCGACGAGACTGTAATTCATGATTGAACCAATCAGATTTAAGATAACAGGTCTTGGATTTCGGCTCGAAATCCATTCACCCAATTAGCTAAATAGAGTTTTGACATTATAGCTGATGTCAATGCGTGATGGAAACCTTTAGTCTGATTCATAACCTTAACTCCATCAATTGTAAATCCTAATTCTTCAAACTGGTTTATAACCCTTATTTGGTCTTAGTTATTAGGTGGACACTCAGTTCAGTGTCGCTCAAATATCGTCCATAAATTATAGTCTCATTCAAACTATTAGTTTAGTCTTTTACAAGTTGTAGTTTCTTGGGACAAATAATCCTTTGAATTAAACAATTAATTAATGTAAGTTTTTAAGCAAAGATGGATAGTGACTAGTAGTGGAATCTAGGACGCGCCTTTCGTTCTATTTTGAACTCGTCAGCTGGATGTACCTACGTCCTGGATTTCACTACTAGCCACTATCCATCTTTGCGAAAACTTTAATTTCATTAAATTTACAAATATCTTCATAAAATTTTAATCATTTCAATGTAAAATTGATGGAGTTTTGAATCAGTAATATGTTTATTAATTAGTATAACTATTACTAGTATTCTATGTAGACATTTTCATACCATGTGGAAATAATCAGTTTGATAAATAATAAATATAAGATGGTACTTAGAGGTATCCAATCACTAACTCATTTTAACATAGTGTACACAATATCGTGTCATCTAGATTAGAGAGTTACATTGAAACTTGATCGATAGAATTTGATCTAGACTAAGAAGTATATTGATACACATAATATTGATCACTACCCAATGATCAATCACAAGTGTATATTGTACATGCCAAAATCAATATATTAATTATTGAGGATTAATTTCCATGATAAAAACAATAACATTAACTTAAACTAATCAAGAATTAATAGAGTTTTATCTTTCATATTACTTTGATACTTTTCAGTATTATATACCTGTTGTGACTTTAAGCCCTGGATTTTATCACATGATTTATTCGTCAATAGAAATACGATTTATTGAATTTTAGTACTGTGCCAAAACAATGACGTTCGACCGGTAGGTGCGCCCTAGCGTCGCCTAGCCCGTCCACTTAGGTCTAGGATACCAATAACATCTTTCAATATACAAATCATTTATTTCAAGCATACATGATTTATATACCAGCCAAACAGACCATATCACACTATAGAATAGAAAATAACATTTATACAAGATCAAGCCAAAAAGTGTCTCTGAACGTGCCAGAATGTAATCAATAATCTGAACTTGACTTGAGAATAATAAATCGTATCGTAATAATTAATAGATCAAAATGAAGCTTATAATAAGGGGAATATAGATATAAATAATCTAGTTACTGAATAGTCATACAATAAGTATATATAATATTAGTCCATTAATATTTTTCGTAATTCTCTCGTAATTTAATCTTCACTAGTATTTAACAGTTACTTACGCCTGCTAATCACCAGCACTCTCCACGCAACCCTGTCCTAGGTAATCCTTTTCATCTCTTTCTGATTGTTATTCATCCTTTTCCATATGTGCTCCTATTTCCCGACGTAATGTATTTTTTTGTCCTTCCTCTTCTCTGCTTTCTTTCAGAATTACAAGTTAGCGCTTGTCTCGTGATGCAGTTTGATGATTCCCGAAATGTATGTCTTATATACTTCCATCATCTTTTCTCAATTTCCTATTCAGCTAGAAGCTGATTTTTCTCTTCCACAGTAGGTTGTTGCTGATGATATCCGAAATCTATTATTGAACTAATGTTATAAATATATAACACTATCCTTGATATATTTCTTTTCATTATTAACATCAAAAGATTCAATTTAATTATATCTCAATTATATTTCAATTATTTTAACTGACTGGATTAACCTTCTTAACAATTTTACTTCAATACGTAATTCATCTAATTATTAAGTTATTTTTTCATTTGAACACATAAATATTGATACAAGAGGACACCAACTATATATGCACCACACAAAACAATGAGAAAAAACGGAACGATAACGAATAGGTTAGTGTAAGGTAATGTAATAAAAATAATGATAGTAATAATGGTGGAAACGGAAAAGTACAATCAGAAATCTTCCAGTTAAGGAAGAAACAACCATTTTTTATGAAGAATGTGAAAGAAGGTTATAGCAGGATCGCCACTGATTTCTATTCTGAGCCATATCTGATAACGTCTGTAGCCACTGTGTCTTGCCATCTCTAGGACCCCAGCCAGAGAGTCGTGAAGGACCAACAGAATCCAGCCCTTTCCAGCTTTCTTTCATACCACCACACCATGTCATACACTGATCACTTCTCCCAAGTACTGAAGGGGCCCAACGTTGCTTAACTGCGTTGATCGGACGAGAACCGGTGCTTTCAACGTGTTATAGTCGCTGGCAAGTAGTAGTATATAAAAAGGCAAAAAGAAACCGTAATGGGGGAAAAACTTGAACTATAATTAAAAATTTTGATTAGTTGTAATTTTAATCATTTTGACATATTTTTTTGCTGTTTTTTTTTCAAATTTTGGTTACTATCACTTTAGATGTTAAAAGAAAAAACACAAAAAAAATTTTACAGACCCACTTCTTCATTACATAGACACACATATATATATGTAGAATTAACCAATCAAATTTTAATAATTGATAACTATTCATTTAAGAAATTTGATTGGTTGATCATTGGTATCCGAGGTATTTACAAATAAAATCCTAAACTAGTTTCAAGTGAATTACCATGGTTTTTATGAATACATTTTAATAATAATTATTATTATTACTATTACTTTACTACTTACAGTACTACTTCTAGTACAGTTGTATTTCATGAAATGTGGATTTTTTAAAATGAAAAAAATATTGATCTGAAATGAAAACTTAGATTAATAAGGTAAGTTCAGTATTGATAAAACTTTGATTGGATTGGATTTGTATTAAAATGTTGATTTTAATCCATTTTGATTATAGAAAATTAGTTTCAATTAGTTTTTCATCATGGCTCCACACTAATATCAGTAAAACAGAATACCATCTATCGTGGTTGAATAAACGGAAAGTAAGAGTATTCAAAAGCTTTTAAAGTTATCTACTATATTCCATGAAATTTGCCACATCGTTTACAAGTGCATCGTTTGCACATTACTGAAGGCATTGTAATACATGTTCACAAACTTAACCTTTTTTTTATATCAAAAATAAGTTTGTACAACCACTTTCACTACCTTGGCTATCGGTATAATATAGGAGTTTACGGTCGAACTTTGATAAACTATTTTCCTATTTCTTCCATTTTCTGTATTTTATTTATTTTCGATATTCGCTTCTTGATTCTTACATAACTAAAATAACACATAGAGAATTCAGTGAAGAAAATTCTCTTTTCGACGAAATCATTTACTTAAGCTTTACATATAACTATTTTTGCAATTAAGGGTGAGTGAACACATACCAAAATGGTTGCAGAAACAAATGGATTCCAATGGTCAAATAAGATCACAGGATAGACAGACATCATCCTCCATTGCGAAATATTTGATTGAGACGGGTCATGAGGTTGACGTCAAATTAGCATTTGTAGTGTTATACAAAAGCCTTCAAGGACATATACTAAGGTTTATTGAAGCCTTGTCTATACGGAAATTGAAACCTTCTTTATTTACCAAACGTCAAAACAGGAATTTTCTTAATCTACGTATTATTGGTTTAGTGAGATTATAATTTATAGACTATCTTTGAGCGATGCCAAACTGACTTTGAGAGTGTCCACCTAATAATTAGGACTAAATGAAGATTATAAACCAGTATGAGGAATTAGAATTATGATTTACAATTGATGGGATTAAGTTTAGGAATTAGACTTAAGGTTTTCATCACAAACTGATACTAATTATAATGCCAAAACTCTATTTAGCCAAATAGATGGGTGAATTTTGCATCAATAATCCAAGATCTGTTGTTTTATAGATGATTGGTTGGTTCATCAATTATACTCTTGCCATTGATTGTATTTGAAAGAGAAGAATACATACTCAGTTAGGAATGGTAATGAAAGATGTATCAGGCATAAAATTCCCCTAAAACGATGTTTAATGTTATAAAAATAAATAAATAATTATTGTTGTCAATTAAAATGGAACGTTCTCAAAAAATTCTGCAATGAAATATCAGTCAGTCAGTAACAACGTAAAACTTCGTACGTACGTACATCATTTCGAATCGCCACACCCCGTTAGCAATGAAATGCAGTTGTCAATTCAAATTCCGTAGTGGTAGAGGTAGTAAGAGTATAAGTAATGAAATATAATTCATAAATTAAATCATTCAATTGATTCAGTTCATAGATTCAAATAAATCTGAGTAAGTTATGAATAATCTAATTTGAATTAATCAGTAAATAAATGAATCGAAACTTTTATAGATTTGTATGGATGAAAACGATCGGTCCTGGGTTCGAATCCCACCGGGTGAGATCATGGACGAACAATGCTGAAGAGTTTTATAGTAGGATGAAACAGTCGTCCATTGCTTTTAGGTTTTCTATGATGATCTAGCTTTAATTGACCCATGAATTCAACTATTAGAATTATTATAACATTCACAAAACCCCTTTCTGATAATAAATACAAAAGTGTTTGTGTGATTGTTCATGTATTTATGCGTTAATATTAGATTTAGAATAACTGTTGTGGTCAGATTGTGAATTTTAATTTAGTAAAATAGATGTAATGATTACATAATAATACTAGTTTTATAGATTGCTGATAAATCCAGCTACTTTTATGATTCACTGTAGAGTAAATGGATTATCATTCATTTAATTTAGTTGAATCGTTTCTTTCCAACACATCGTATAAGTGGTATGTTTGTTTGTCATAATAAATAACTAAGTTCATTTCATATTATAAGTAACTAGTTGGTGGTTGAATGTAGTCAACAGGAAACCCAGGACCCGAGTTTCGTGCTACTTGGCACTCGTCAGCAAGATGTACCTGTAATCTTGAGGGAAATGGTGCTACCTGACGGATTCGATCCCGTGTTACCTAGCTTCACAGTCAGGGACGTCCAGGATTTCTTGTTGACTACCTCCAACCACCATCCAAGCGCACGTTATGTTGAGTCACCTAGACTAGTGGCAACACTGCAACTTGGTCGATCTGCACTAATAAGGACTTGACACACATGACATTGATCACCACGCAGTGATCAATCAATTGTGATTATAAGTGACTAGTTTTTCAACTGTATTCAGCTCTCCGTCATTCTGTGTGAAAGAGATGATATTCATTGTTTACATCATTATCATAATTAATAAATAAAAGTTTGTAAAAATCAATTTAATTGATAAATAATATTAATCACAAATTGATTTTAGTTGAAGTACCTCGGAAAACTAGGAAGCACTGAACAGTTAACACATTTAATTTGGAGACTCCTTAATAGTGAGAATCCACGAACCGTTAATGATCAGACCAAGGATATACAAGTCTCTTGGTGATTACTTAACTATTAAACTTCTGATTGAAACCAGTAGTAATAAGGGATATGTTTTTGAAGTTCTAGGAAGATATTGTGACAAGCCAATTTAAACTGTTTCAGGAATAAAACAGTTGTCATCAATGATAGTGAATGATTATCAAGTGATATTGTTTATTGATCGAATTTAAAAATGTAGGCTATCAAGTTTTAGCTTATCAGTTTTAAGACACTATACTCAGCATGAAACTTGAAAACCTTGGATCTAATCTCTAGTAAAGCCATGAATGTGCATTTCTGAGGAGTTTCTTATTGGGACGAAAGAACTATTGAATGCCTCATGGCTTCCAATACTACTCCAAATAACTTCAATTAGTGATAAAGAGCATTTGTATAAATGATAATGTTTCTTTTCATGTTTTAATTTTTCAAGTAAACAGTTTTAACTTTCACTATTTCAATCAAAAGTTGACCTTTCGTGCTAAACTCATATTATCTATTTTAAAAGAAGAACATTTCTTATGAATTTTATGACTGTTAAAAATTGTAAAGTTTATTTGTTTACTGTAAACAAATGCTTATTTAATAATCAGAAAGGGGTTTTGTATGGAATGTAGTAAATTAATAATTGAATTCATGAATCAATTGAAGCTAGATCATCATGGAAAAGCTGAAAGCACTGGGCGGCCGTTTCATCCTAGTATTAGACTCTCCGACAGTGCACATCCACGATTCCATTTCGAAAGATTCGAACCCAGGACCTATCAGTCATGCGCGCGAACGCTCAACCTACTAGACCACTGAGCTTACTGGCATCCAATGATGTTAATGTCTAATTTCAATGAATACATGAAATTGAGCGACACATCCACCATCTTCTTCAGTGAGTTACTCTCTCACAACAGATCCGATTTAGTTCAACTGGTTACTGCTTCTAATTAGAACTCCAGGAAATAAAAATAATTTTTTTCTCTTTTTCATCTGATGATTTAATGATCTGAAAAGATAGTTTTACTGTTATTTAATAAGAAGAGAAAATACAACAATCTAAATGTTTGATTGAATTGTAAATAGATTTTTTCTGTTTTGAAATCAATATTATTTGAAAAATAAAATCTGAAGTGTTTTTGTTTTTTGAAAAAAAAACTGTTGATCAATCTGTAATTTGAACATAGTAGTTTTAGTAGTGGTGGTGATCATAGTCGTAGTAGCAGTCGTCGTCGTCGTAGTAGTAGTAGTAGTGGTCATAGTAGTAGTAGTAGTTGTTGTTGTAATGGCAATTGTATCCATTGGATTATATAATGAAGGTGTTTATCTTATATATATAACTTACTTTTTGTTGTCATAATGATAATATGTATTTAGATGGTGGTTGGAGGTAGTCAACAGGAAACCCTGGACCCGGGTTTCGTGCTACTTGGCACTCGTCAGCAAGGTGTACCTGTTCCTGTTGACTACCTCCAACCACCATCTAAATTTCAATACATAGTGCCCGCAGTGTCGAGTCACCTAGACTGGTGGCCACATTGCAACATGATCGATAGCATTCGATCTGAACTAATAAGGACTAGACACGCATGACATTGATCACCACCCAGTGATCAATCAATTGTAATGATAATATGTATGTAATTCTCTATAATAAAACAAAACGACCGTCCAGTGCGTATCCAGGTTTTCCGTGGTCATCTAGCTTTAATTAATTCATGGTCTCAACTATTAAAATTACTATAATATTCACAAATAACCCCTTCTGATATTAATCAACATATACTCACTAGTGACTGGCCTCTAGAGGTATTTGCTGGAGTTCTAGTGAGAAGCAGTAACCAGTTGAACTAAATCGGATCTGTTGTGAGAGAGTAACTCACTGAAGAAGATGATGGATGTGTCGCTCAATTTCATGTATTCATTGAAATTAAACATTAACATCATTGGATGCCAGTAAGCTCAGTGGTCTAGTAGGTTGAGCGTTCGCGCGCATGACTGATAGGTCCTGGGTTCGAATCTTTCGAAATGGAATCGTGGATGTGCACTGTCGGAGAGTCTCATACTAGGATGAAACGGCCACCCAGTGCTTTCAGCTTTTCCATGTTGGTCTGACTTCAATTGACTAATGATACCAATTAATGAAATTACTGTGATATCCACAAAAAATCCCCTATTGATATTTATTTGATTACTAATTGTAAAAGGAGAATAGTGATTTGGTTCTAATTAAAATCGTTACCTTTCTGTTGGCAGTTTATAAGACTTTTATAATTTATTAATTTATTCATGGGGATTAAGTTTGTGTTTCAATGTAAATATCAATAATGTGATTCATTAAAACATCCATTTGGTAAGTTTCATCAACTCTGTTGAAATATTTTCTCTAAATTCTTCTACTAGATAAGATGTACTTACTCACGCCTGTTA